GAGGGAGGGATGGGCTGGGAGCTACCTCAAGGTGTCCAGCTTGTAGCCACAAAGTGGGAATTCCGAGTGATTTCCAATAAGTGATGTCTTGGTTGGCAGGGTGAGTGTCCCGGTAGATTCGCTCAAACCCCACAGCCACTTTCAGTGTTTCTGTAGGGGCAGAAACAGGGAGAAATGTTGGTTTTTCCCCAAAAACGTGCAGCACTGGTTCAGAACTGCAGTGTGAGACCACACTTGGAGCCCAGGTTGTTCATTCTACTGGGATCTACACTTCAAATGCTTCCCTACAGTCCTGATTAGCCCCTTGTGAAGGTTCCATTTTAATGACTACGCGACAGACATGAGGAAATTCTTAACAGAAAGATGTGGGTATCTGATCACAGCCTAGAGTTTAGGTCCATGTAAAAAGTTGCGTAAAATGTCTGTCTTCAGCAGAGACAGAACATGAGAAGTCTAAGGAATTCCAGCTACCTTCTCAAAGCTTTTTTTTTTTTTGTGTCTTACCCAATTTCACCTTTCCTCATCACAGTAAATCTGACCTCTCCCTCTTGCCTCAAGGTTTGCCTGCACAAGCTAGGCCCTTGTGCCAAGGGTATGTGTTGGGGCACGTTAGTCCTTTAGTTGTGTTGTAACTGCACCAGGGTAGAGAAGTTTCTTTTTTTTTTTTATTTCTGTTATGTGAGAATGAGAGATTTTGAAAACTTTGGCCAGTGTGGTGTTGCAAGGTACCATGCTCTCCCCATAGCACACAGACTGCGCCAAGAGGAGATGATGGACCAGCTATGCAAGTTCCCAGCTCTGGTTTCAAACTGTTTTGTTCGATTCAGTGATAATTTCTGAATGGCTGCAATCAGTGAAAGCTGAGCCCTGAGACTGAATTCTGACTTATGCAAAACTTATGTTTAACTTTCAAAGGGGCAAAGAGTATGGATTTTAGTTTTCAAGAGTAGGAGGAAAGGAGGAAAGCTGAAATGGAACTTCTCTGAAGTTTGACCTCCTGTTTACTCTGCTGGGATCTGATAGCATCTAGAAAATTAACATAAACTCTTTAGCTGAAGGCTTTTTCCTCTCAGCTCTATGGCTCTGCTTGTCTCCTCTTTGGATGAGATAGCAACGAATGTGGAAGGGCAGGCTCTGTGGTATCTTCCTCTGCTTGTTGGTTTGTGCTATATATGCATGCATTCCTGAAAGAGTCAGCTTGAGGTTTCTCAGCAGCATTGGCAAAATCAAGTGCTGTAATTCTGAGATGAAGGGCCAAGTCTGAGCTACAGCAGAAAGCCTTGGAGGCCTGCTGGATGTGTCTGGGTGGAATGAAGGCTTCTGCTGAAGAAGGCCAAGTAGTACTTACCTTGGATGCAAAGAAAGCACCAGCCCGGCCTTCTAGGGCTGTGGCATTGACAAAGAAATCCTGTGAAAACTACTAGAGAAGTTTCTGCTGTGTCTACATGTGACCTTAACTTGTGCAGTAGTAGTAAATCCTATTGCTTTGGGAAATACACTGAGAGGCAAAACAATGACGAGAGTCAACTACAGAAAGGGAAATAAATCAAGAAAGGGAAGAAGGGCAGAGGATGCATGGAGGAAATGTATTTGAAGATGTAACTTACTTCCTGCCCAAAGCCTTGTTGAAAACTATATCAAGGTGTGCTTGTTCCATCATAAATACATGGAAGGAGAGAGCTTAATAACGTGTTTGAATTCATAAACATATGGTGACATTAATGAAAGTGACTTGCATTTGCCTATGACTCTTGAGTGAGTGCTAGGAAGTCCTCTCATTTGTAGAAGGCCTAGAGCTGATTTTTCACCCTTTGAAAAGTGACCATGTGGTGTGTTATGTCATCTGCAGGTAAAAGGACACAGAAGATGGACTGGGGAGCTCTGCAGACTGTTTTAGGAGGCGTAAATAAACACTCAACCGGTATCGGGAAGATATGGCTCACAGTCCTGTTCATCTTCCGTATCATGATCCTGGTTGTGGCTGCAGAGAGTGTCTGGGGAGATGAACAACAAGATTTTGTCTGCAACACACTTCAGCCTGGGTGCAGAAATGTTTGCTATGATCACTTTTTCCCCATCTCTCACATCAGACTCTGGGCCCTGCAGCTGATCTTTGTTTCCACACCTGCGCTGCTGGTGGCCATGCATGTAGCTTACAGGAGGCACGAGAAGAAAAGGCGATTCAGAAATGGTGAGAAAATTGATATTGAAGAGCTGAAAAATGAAAAGTTTCACATTCGGGGCCCCCTGTGGTGGACGTACACCAGCAGCATCTTCTTCAGGATCGCCTTCGAAGCAATCTTCATGTACGTGTTCTATTACATGTACGATGGGTACCAGATGCCTCGCCTGATGAAGTGCAATGCTTGGCCCTGCCCCAACACAGTGGATTGTTTTGTGTCTCGGCCCACTGAGAAAACCACTTTCACTATTTTCATGCTTGCTGTGTCTGGGATCTGCATGATGTTGAATCTGGCTGAGTTGTGTTACCTAGTGATAAAAGTTTGCTGGAAAGATTCCAGGAAAACGACGGTTTTGAAATAATTCCCCAGTTTCAGGATTTCCTAGTGCCCCATTTCCCTCAAACTTTCTTATGTGTCAGAAAACAATCAGCAATATTTTCACACTCATGGAAAAGCATAAAAATGAATGTTCCTTCATGTTTTAAAAATGATAGCCTCCCGGGGAAGCTGCCACTGAGGTAGGTTTTAAAGATCATGAGCTAATTCAGTATTCCTGCATCCACAAATAGCCTTCTGGCAGCAGCTTTTCCAAGTTTGCCTACTGCTGGATCCCGTTGTTGGGACAGAGTCACTTTTCAAAAAGTGGGAGTGGAAAGGCCCAGAGGAGGCTCTAGTGCACAGAGGAGAGCCAGGAATCACAAACACACTCTGTCAGCTTCAGAGGCGAGCCATTAAAAAAGGGGTTTGGTCAAAAGTGGGGTGAAGGGGTTTTTGGGGAAACTTATGGCTTGTGAAAAGGAAGAAGACAGGGACGTGATTGTGTTTATAGCAGGTGTCCTATTCTCTGTCTGAGTATTCTGGAGAGCAAGGAGAGGGCCTAGGAACACAGGTACTCTATGGCAATGTATGCTATCAGCTCTGCTGGGCACCAGCAACAATTTTTATCTTTTTACCTCCTCACCTGCACTGAGGAGCATCTCCTGCCAGAGTTGGGGGTGGCAAGTCTCAGCTGCTTGTGGATGTCATTAGGTCAGTGCTGCCTCCCTGCACTCACAGGGGCCTGCAGCAGTGGGAGGAATGAAGTTTGTTTTTTCATTCTCTTGGTCAGTGGAAAAGCGGATTGTCACCTTTGAGAAGGTGGGGACAATGCAACTGTCTTCCTCCTTCTCTTGTTCTCCTCCAGTACTTTGTGAAGGATCTCAGTACAGTAGATTTTATGCGATGAAGAGACTTTTACCACCTGACTGTGCCTCCTTCAGCTATGTGCCTTTGCAAGTTTTTTTCTGGTCAGTAAAAGCCAAAAAAAAATTTGCCTTGTTTTATTGTGTTTATTACCCAAAAGAAGTGCTTCAACTTACAGCATGATCTGCAGTAGCTTGCATCTACCAGTGCCCCTTGCATCAGTCCCCTTTTTCTATCCACCCTGCGCAGCTTTTCTTCATGAAAGCTTCTCCCTGTCTGAGGTACCTTTCAAGTGAGTCCATCAAACCACTCCCGATCTCTCTGACATTCCACATTGTGAGACTGAATCACCCTTCCTCTTACAGTAGGTCTAGCAGGAATTACAGACAGCTTGCAGAGCTAAAATAGTAAAGGAACCCAATCACAAATGAGGAGGAACTTGGTATTTTTCTTAGAGTTCGCATTGCTGAGCTGTGAATCGTATGTTACTAACTTGAAGGTGTGAGTCAGTATAGTCTTGTCTCTCCAAGGTAGTCTCAAAATGTGTTTTATGCCTGTCATAGGCAGCTGCACCAGCACATGCAGCAACACAGTTTATTTCCCAAGTGCCTGCCCATTGAACCCACTTCTAGAAAACTGACTGTCCCTCCTCCTTTTTAACAACTGGCTTTTCCCCAGAATGAATGAGTGCTATCTCAGCTTCTCTATTTGCATCCATCTCTTACTGTACATGTAAGTTTATCACTGGAGTAAACAAAGCTGCATTAATTAAGACCCATGACCCCTTGCTGTGCACTGGAAGCGGACCATAAGCAGGCTCCCATTGCTTGTGAGCTACACGCAGTGTTACAACTTGACTGCAGATGGAAATCTGTCATCTAAGAGGGGAGCAAGAAAAACATAAAAACACCATCCTCAGAAGCATGAACAAAAAGATGGAAAGTCACTAATAATGAGATGAACTGGAAACCTGGACTGTGAAAACATCCTTAATTCAACTCTAAAGCACAAAGCTTGGCACATATCAGGTTTGTGCTTGGTAAAGTTCCTGCATTGTTCCATGTACAAGCACGAAGAGAACACTCCCCATGCTCTAGTATTACATTTCTTTTGTAACAACAGGGTTTTTATTTTTCTTCTGAAATTATAATTAAAGCAGTCTTGTGGTGTCTGTTTTCTGTATTAGTTCTACATGCTGTGTATTACTTAACGTGTCTAATGAAAATCTGTTTATCATAATGGAAAATGTATGCACCAATAGTACGTTTTTAGCCTACTGCTGCAGGTTGGTTTTTCAATTGGTTACATTGCCTGTCATCTTGCAGACTTCATGACCTGATAGTGGAAGGTCACAAATGTGACCCCTACTAGAAATCAAATGTGCTGCCTAAGTAAGTCAGCTTTGTACTAGCAGAACTGCATCTGGAAAAAATCTAGTGATAAATAACTTAACTGGCTCAATAGGGAAAAGAGTTTGTTTTCCCAGCCTGCCTTTGAATGTAACTGAAACTTGAAACTTGGAATGAGACGCACCAAAACTGGTAACACTGACGCTATGAGGTTACCTTCAGCTAGCAGTTTGACAGCAAGATTATCACACAGGAAAAAAAGATAGAAATAGGGAAAGTGTCTGGAAGTGGGTAAGAGAGGGCTTTGATCCAGAACTGCAGCATCAGGTGATAATAGCTCTACCAGGACATATTTACTGTCTGAGATCTCTGTGCATATTAAATTTGACTAAATAGCTGCTTTGTTGGGAAAAAAAGTTCAGATACTTCAAATTGCACCTATTTCTACGTGTGCTACATTGAATGATTGACGTCCTACAAATGGATTTTGTACAGATTAAAATACAATGCTGTGTTGGAATTGTGTGTGTTCTTCCCTGAAAGACACTAGAAGTGTCTACGGTTTTGGCACTTGGTTCCTAGACTCTTGTCAGAACAACAGCTGCAAGAGTGTTGAAAACTGAAGAAACAAATCCGAAGTCATGACTGTAAAAGAGGCTGATTCCTCACTGTCCAGTGTAGCCAGGATATAAAGTGTCAAATAATGTGGTATCAGAACTGGGAAGTGCAGGAGTGGGACTGGCTAGAATTATACTGTGATTGAAATCACCACTGACTTCATCAAGTTAAACTTTCATCCAAAACCTTGAAACCAAAACTACAAACACGTTTGTCAGAAAAAGGGAGGGGGGAGAGGAAGTAAAATTCACTTTTAACTTGTAGACTCAGCTAGAGGAAAAAACCCTAACTCCCACATGAGAAAGAGTGATTTAAAAGAAAAACAGAAGTATAAATCTGCATTTATGACTTCTGGATATAGAAGTACCTTTATTAAAGGTTTTCTTAGACAAAAAAATAAAAAAATCCTTCAGATGTTTCACAGTTTTCATGAGCCAATGTACTGTGCTACTTCCTATCTGACATATAGAATATAAAAGACAAATGATGTGGTCCATACAGAGAAGATCACTCCTGTACCATGGAGGTTCAATTCAAAATAGCAACAGTGTTAAAAGTTGCTTTATCTTGTAAAAAGTGTACCGCAGCAAATAAGCCACAGCTAAGAGCATTTTACCACAAGCTGAATTTGGTAAAAATGAATCTCTTTTTTTCTCCCCTAATCATAATTCCCTCCTCTGCAACGTAGGCTAATGTGTTTTACCAGGCAACAAAATCTCGCTCAAAGAATTGCACTGTATTTTGCGATCACCTGTTGTGATATTCAGGACAGCCACTACCCTGGGTTTTAATTACAGGTTTCTTTGGATTTTCACCATCTTATTATCTATACAGTCATTTGAACCTGTTTGTAGACAGTAGCAAGAGTAATTGTAACTATCTGAGGCTTAATGAGCTAAGACTAATAATCGTAATGATCTTAATCGTAATGGTCTTCAAAATAGTCCAGGAGGTACGTATGGTTTTTTCACCATCTGACAAACTCAGCTTGTCATTGTCAGTCATTTTCTTTCACAGAATATATTTCTCTTCTGTAAAGTTGGCCCAGCTCTGACCTGGATATTTTCTCTCCAAGCCTTCCTAGCCACCAAAAAAGTCTTTATAATCTAGGCTTGAAAAAGTATTAAGCTTTAATGAGCAGGCCCAGATGAGGAAACAAGTCATATCTCCAACTTTCCATCTTGGACAACATAGTTTGCCCCTGCTATGGTTGGTCCCCCAGTACTACCATAGAATTCAGCCTCAGAATTGGCCACATGATTGCCCATACCTTCTCCCTTTTCTGCCCGTTAAATCACTGCCACCAATTCAATGTTTATTTTGCATCTGTCTGCTCTATGCTCAATCCATTGTATTTGAATAAGCCATCTACTGAAAAATATCCTCTCTAAGAATACCACCAGGTGGCCAGATGCTTGTATAAGCCTTTCTGGTAAAGGAGTGATATGGCACCAATATGATATACAGTTTAGAGAAATAGGTTTGAGCGAAGGGATGAGAGAACTTATACAATTGAGCTATGAATCATTGCAGGTTGTGGATGAATGTTTTGAACAACAATGTATATTCTGCATGCTGCTAAGAACAGCATTTCACTCGTAGCCCACCACAGTACCCAGGATAATAAATACAGTAGTGCGTGAATGCAGTCACACTGGGTTGAAGCAGGTGGCATTTTTCAGTGGACAAGCTGTGCTGGGCAGGCTTACTTGCTCAGGCAAAGTGTATCTTTTCTGTTGTCTTGGCAATTATGGTGATAGAGGCTTGTCAGCTAGGAAAGACAATAGCAGTCTTAAAGCTGTTCAAGTCAAGATCGTGAAATTTGGTTTAAAAGTGTTTTGCAGATCATTTTCTATGGAGGGTCTATCTTTAAAACAACACATAAAAATCCCTCCTACACCACTAAGTGATACACACATTAACAGGAATGCTGTACTTTCTTTTGATGGGGTAACTGGAAAATTTGCTATCTGTTTGGTATCCAATGATCAACATTTCTTCTGTCACAAGACTTCTTTCACTTGGTTCGAAAGTATTAGGCCTAGTACACAGAGTTGACCCTGAATCTCATTGTTTCTGAGTCTCCTCAGCTGAAAGATGAAGGTGACAACTGTGTCATGTTCACAGGGAGCAGAACAGTTTGATAAAGCATTGTTTATTAAGAGCATTGCAATCGGTGCCAGAAAAAATATTTTATAATTATTGTGTGGTAAAGATTTTGAACCTATTGTATATTGCGTCATTAGTGTAATGTCTGCTTACAGTTAGTCATGTCCCTGCCCTAGGTGTTGCTCCTTTCCAAAGACTG